CTCCGTCAAAAATAAAGTCAAGGGAAAGTAGATTATAGAAATTGGTGTACAGAATAAACGTTTCGATTTAAACTAAGAATGCTGGTGAGGGTTATAGAGTTTTGTGAGTTTGAAAGTAGAGTGTGCATTTCTCGATTTCTGTACGTTGTATTGATCACATCTGGTGTGAGAGAAGACCATCAAACAAACTCTGAGACTTGGAGTGGTAAACCACATAAGACCTCAACAGGTTGAGCGTGGTAGTGAGCCAGGCGACAGCAGGGCTGCCTTACACTGTATTTTTTGCGTCACAGAGTACTTATAGACGAAAGGCAAAAACGATGTCATTACAAATTTATGGTTCTTCAGATGCCTTCAGAGATGGCGGTTCATTTGTGCTGGCTCGACAACAGCGGATGGGGATACAGTTACTATCTGTTCACTCTAATCAAAATTTCCCANACTTTCTTGCAAGTTCGGATGTACCATCGCAATTAAACCCGCTGTGGAATAGTTTGTTCGCGTTAATGAGTTGATTGTTCTCTCAAACGTGATCAGTTTTACGCCAGGATAGGTAGACTTAACTACATTAAGGAGTCGCCGACCAACCCGTGCAATTGCGTCGTCTTCCTAAATGGTATACTAATGAAAACGTTTATCTTTTCGACCGTTGGGTATTTTAGCCTGGGGCTGGTAGGTTTACCATATTTCTGTACAAATAACAAGGGGTAGTCATTAGTAGACGTAGTATTGGTCAAGTTTCTTAGTTCACTTTCTGGCATTTCCGGATTACGCAGGCACCGAACTCCGTAGAATAGGGTTCTTATCAATCCGGTTTGGTAACATAGGGGATGAGAGCTTCAGAAGTTTGAATCGTGAATTGGAATGAACTGTTACTTGCTTATTCCGACGTGAATGTGATACTCCTATACAGTCCATTCTATTCGTTAAATAAAACTGGTATCTGTTGCATTTCAGGTTATGAATAATGTTTCATCCACGGGATACAATATTGTGGATTTGAGCTCACTTATAATCTTGTTCTCAAGTTTCGACACGATATATCACTCCAAATTGGTCCATGTGGGTTCTTCGTAGCCACACTATCTATCTGACGGTAGATGATGCCATTGAGGATGAACTGCACATTATAAACAAACAGTTTTAATAGTGCTCTAAACTGGTTTACTTGAAATCCAATTACAGTAAAATATTTTCAAACCTCCACGACTTCCACCACTGGTACTGTAGTGAATAAGAAAACAACGACCATAGAAGCAAAGAAAAATTCTCGATAGGCAATCTCAAGTCAGATATCTTTCAACCCCAAATGAGTGAATGAAGATGAGTTGAGATGGAATAACATGGTGGTTTCCTAGAGGGTTGATTTGGTCGTGTCAAACGCTTTAAGTGCCTAAGGTGTATAGACAACGTTTTTTTGTTACCGCTGGGCAAATGAGTAAGGGGTTGAATGATGCCGAAACAGTTGGCGGATAAAACGGCGATAATCACTGATCAACCCCCCCCCCCAAAAAAAAGATTTAAGTTGAACTTCAAAGGGCTTGGATGTTCTTAACCTTTGAAGGCAGATGATGAATGCCTCAGAAATTTATCTGATGTATAAATTTTAAGAATGAGATATCGAAATTACATTCAGATGGGTTAGGAGTAAGACCATAATTTCTAAAACGCACAAAAACAGTGCATACATAGGAGCTATTCTCTTCGGATGAAGTACTAACTAATAGAACGTCATCCAAATAGATGAAAACAAAATCTAAACATCGAGTGCCTTGATCCATGATATTGCGTTCGGCCTAGGCTTACGATTAACACGAACGACTCTTGCCTAAGCCCCACCAAAAACGCGGAGAGGGAACACTACTCGAGACAACAGTCAGGGTGCGTTCAATGATTAAGTTTCGACCAGCAAATATGTAGCGTAAATCAGACACACGAGAACGGTGCTGAAGCACCAATCAGAGTGCATCCTTAACATTTCGATTGATCGATCGGACGAACACTGGCTGATTCTTTCTGCAGTCATCCAATCCAGAGTTAGCCTATCTGGCTCGTTGCGAGACACCTTGTGGCGTGACACGGGGTGTGCGAGGCCTGACGTGTTCTTTGAGCTCCATCCTAACACCACCTTTTGAGCTAGACAGCTTGTCGTAGGATCGCAGGCTCGGGTTGATTCGGAACGGTACTGTAGTTGTGCGCGTGCATTCCGCCCGTTGTCGAGGCTGCAGGGAACGTTCTACCTTCGGTGAGGGTGCTGGTTTTGGTGGTTCGCGACTGGAGACTGGTATGACTAATGTGTCCATCAACATGTACGACGACAGTTTAGGTTCAGGATTCGGTTCTTTATTGTAGGTGATCGGTTTTAGCTGGTTGGCGTGCCACTCCTACTCTTCAGAACCAACTAATATTTCCTAGATCACTTTTTCCTAGCGTCGATATACTCAACCATTTGTCCACCTTTCTTGATTACTCTAGAAGTCCCCCCCCACAAACTTTCTAGTCCCTCACAAACAATCGGTTCCGTGTGCCATGGTGCTGCTTGAAATGCAACTCACTTGTTGTTGGATGATTGACTTCCAGGGGCCTGTTGCTGTGTCATCTTCGGAGAATTACGTCAAATGGTGTGCGGATTTTCCCTTCAAACATTGCCTCGGCCGGAGACGCACTATTTGGGACAGTGGGATTTGGTTTCGCCCCACAGTTTAGTACAACGGTTTCCAGGACTGCCCCCGTGGTACCCTCCACGTTGGATTTCGAAACTACTCACTTGAAGGTGTCTACGAAGCGTTCGACTTGGCCGTTTGATTGTGGGTGGAAGTGTTATCTGCGTATGAACCCGTGACCATGGGGCTCACGGCATTATCCACTGCTGGAGGTTGATCTTGACGGGTGCCTTAGTTGCTTGGGGACAGTTGAAGCAGGAGCGTCCAAGCTCTTTGAGGTGTTAGTCCATATTAAGCCAACAGACGTAGCTGCGGGCAAGGGCCTTCATGCAGTTGGTCCCTGGGTGGCCGAAGCGGAAATGGCGTAGAATTCTGTGTTGTACCCACTGTGGAATAAGGACATTCTGAGAACAGAATGCAATCGTCCACCGTTGATATAGGTTCTCGAGAGTGTTGTAGGTCTCTGGATATGTGTTGGCTAATGTGTTCGGTGATAGCGACTTGTTGCAGTGTCCGATCTTGTCTCGTTGCCCCTTGTATATCAGTAAAAGTGACAGGCAGTATCCGTAATGTATCCGTCATTTGGGTCTGCATATCTGACTCCCGCGAAACAGACAAGATGACTGTGTCTTCGATCTGTTGACTTCGAGGGTCAATAAGGCGCGAAAAGGAGCATATGCCTGGCCAATTTTTGTCGTGGATTGGAACCCGATGTCGAAATCGTATTCCAGCAACATAGTGGCCCAACGACATAGTCAGTTTACTGAGTAGACTGAAACACCCTTCTTCGAACCGAGGATCACAACCAAAGGTTTATGATCAATTAGGAGTGTGAAGTGGTGGTCGCAGANGCAGAACGTCTAATGGGACATTTTTATTGTAAAGATGATGGAAAGAGCTTCCTTTTTAGTTTGACCGTAGTTGTGTTTGGCGGGGATTATGTAGAGTGTACAATCGCTTTTTCTCGAACATCTAGGAGCATATGCGCGATGACAGCTCTCACACACTGGTTTGACGGATCGGAACTCACAAGTCGGAACGTAGCATTGTTTTACATCTTTAAACAATTGCTGACATGCTGATGAGTAGTTCTACTTCGCATCCTTTTTCAGAAATTCTTTCAAAAGGGTAGGCAGGCGGTGCATGTCTGGTAGGAAGACTACTCAGTGGCCCTGCGTTCTTAAAAGGACGTTAACGATGTGACATAGTAGGCGTAGGCATTTCGTAGATGGCTGCAATGTTGGAGGGATCTGGATGACAACCATATCTGTCGATGATGAATCTCAGATATTTCAAGAAAGGCATGAAGAATTCGCACTTCTCAAACCGGAGGTGAAAACAGTATTCCTGGAGGGGAGGGGGGGGGGGAATAGTGCCAGTCACAAATATATCGTTCACATAAGCAGCAGAACCATCATTGCCAGTGTGCATTGTGTCCATGACCTGTAAGAAAATGTGGGGTGCAGTAATCACGCCGAAAAAAGTCGCTGGTACTGGAAGAGACCACGGTCTGTGTTGATCGTTAACAGCTCTCGTGAGCCCTCGACTTCTATTTGCAAGTCAAGCTGGACGAAGCAGGTCCTGTCGTTTAGTTCTGCGAACGAATTGTCGGTCACTGGTAAAGGAAGCGGGTGTATTTCCAGGACGTCATTCAGGCCCGTTGAGAAAGCAACCCAAAGAAAAGGAATATCTCAAAAGGGTAGGTTCGTTGTGTATATGGCACATAAAGCGTGAACTGAAAAGCTAGGAAGCACCGGATAGCTGTTTTGACCTGGGTGGCTCTCATCAGCAATGCGAATCCATCGACCCAACTAGAGATCGAACTCAGGACATCACAAGTAGAACGCCAGCATGCTACCCACTCGGCCACCGGGCAGCCGAGCAAATCATTTTTCATTTTCCATTTACACGATATCGCACAACCCATCTTTGCGAGCTTGTTGCGGGTATCGCGCCTCACTCACCTCAGCACTAGTTACCGGGGTTGTGACTCGGTTTGAAACCTTCACAACCTGACTACTTGTTACCTGAGAATAATGGAGGATTTGACCCAATTGCAATGAAAGAATTCGTCGTGTATAGATCAGATGATCGTGTAAATGGAAAATGAAAAACGGTCTGACCAGCTGCCCAGTGGATCAGTGGGTAGCATGCTTGCGTTCTGCATGTGATGTCGCGGGCTCGATACCTGGTTGGGTCCGTGGATTCGCACTGTTGATAAGACCCAAACAGGTCAAAACAGCTGTCCAGTGCCTCCTAGTTATTCACTTCCTGATTTATTTCATCTATACAGAACGAATACTTTCTTTTAAATTAAATTAAATCATTCATCACTCTCAAGAATGATATCATTGGCTTTTTTGACCACGACAATGGGTTCAGCTTCGGAGGAACAGTTGACTGGTTTAATCACACCTGGTGGTTGGTCGAGTGCGGGCAATGATGCTAAACAAAAGCGTTTTATTAGTTAGTAACTTGATTAGCACCGTGCTCCTTATTTAGCGTTCCGTAGTTCGTCAAAGGAGCTTTTCGGAGTACTCGGTGTCCAACTCTGACCGAAAAATTCAACTAATGTTCGGTTTTCCTCTCAAGTGCAAGACTGAAAATGTTCAATAGCATAAACAACAAGCAGCTCCTTTCTTTTTTGAAGGAGTTTTTCCAAGTAATTTCTTGTTTCTGTTGTTTCCGTTTCGACCACAGTCCCATGTTGATTCTCTATCTATTGTGTCATCTCATATGTACCAATTCTGTCTCAAAAATTGTCTCAACTGTCGATTTTTCTTTATCTAGCACACCACGACTTATATGGAACATGTAAATTGGTGGCCTGGTGGTAACCTCACCAATTATCACCCCGGAGGATGTGCGTTCGATTCCCACCGCCACTGCCTGTCATTCCCCATTTGTGTGCATTGTACGGCAGCCTTTTGATTGGCCACTTCCCTCTTCCGGAAAATTGAAGTAAAAATGAGCAAAAATGAAAAAATGCTGGCTCACTCAATGCATTGCCATCCCATTCGAGACCGCTGCTAGTGGTTTCACTCATATCATCATGAAGTTACGTGACTGAAATTGGTTTCGGGGTTAAACGCCAATGTGGCGAATCAACCCTCCTAGGAGTCGCTAGCCAAGTGCCTACGCGTTCCGGTTTCTGGACACTGGGCCATTGACCAACTGTTTCGATCACCCAATGGTCATTCAGTTCAAACAGATATCGTATGATTCGAAGAACTTGAACGATGATTGGTTGATACTCGTTTGACCAATGATACCTCTATTTATATATTATTTAATCCCATTGATTTCTGTTACGAAACGAAAAGCTACTTCCGTGTCCTCTTTCCTGTGTCTCGGTGGCAGGCAATTTCAGCGTACGATTGCCAGTGTGACTCCGTGCTTCAGTTGCGACCGTGATTCGTGATACGTAATCCATTCCTACTTCCATTACCACAAATAAGTAGACTGATCAATGGTTATGTCGAGTTGCGGTAACAAATCGTCAATTGACAGGCTCATCTGAACGAGAGATAATTTTGAGTAAAACAAATATCACTTGATTCATTTTCGCTTTTTGGTTTTTTATTTACGTATTACCCAGATTTAAAAAAAATGATTACCATGGTGNGAGGTTTTCCAATTTTATTCCGGGGGATATATATGCAATGCAAACCTAATTTGCAGCTCAGTGAGTGGATTTGAGACAAACTAATCTCGAAGAATCATTGCGATGATTCTGTCTCAGGTGACCAGATAGAAGATTACCGGATGCGTATAACTGACGAGCGGCAAGGACTGAGAAACCGGTCGTGTGCTGCTGGGAAATTTTGTCTAGTCATTCATACATTACTCATTACATATATAGATATATATGTATCTTATGGCGGTGCTGGCCCACTAGTAACACCACCAAATTATCACCCCGTAGGACGTGTGTTCGAATCCCACCACTTCGGCCTGATTTCCCATTCTGTGTTGTACGGCAGTCTTTTGGTTGGGTGCCTCCTCCCTCCTGAAAATTGTATCATGTATTCAACAAAAGGATGTTAAAATGAAAAAGAGAAAAGAAAGAGAATAGTCTAATCCTAAACCATCCACTGATCCTTTCGCTTACGTGTTTATACTTTTAGGGACCTCCTTATAACGATACAACGGCTGCCGTTAATACCAGCTAATAGGTACTGAAACAATCCCGGAGATGCATTGTGCTAAATCACAGTTTGTTTTACTTTGTTCAGGTTTGCAGAAGTTCCGAAGCTGGTCTCTGATATGTGCAACCAGCATTCAACCCTCCAAATGATAACTTTCTGAGCCCAGTCAGTCACCACAAACTATTTATCAAGCACTTAGACCTTTTCATTGTTCTCTCTCGGATTAACTGTTTAGGCCTGGTGTTCGCAGCACATAACTTTAGCGCAAGTACACAAATCTACACATACATATATACACATAGATGAGTTGCCTTAGGCATGAACCAGAACATCTTGACAGCAGATATTTGGTGATCAATGCGTTTTATTTACCGATATTGTTACATTGACTTTTGTGGCAGACAGTCATGGGACTTGAATGAGCACGTGATCGACAGGTTGAGCGGGAAAAAGGTGCCATGCATGTTTGTTGACAGTTGGAGTTTGTCGAAC